AAAAAAAAAAAAAAAAAAAAACATATGACTCAATACAACTATTCATTGGCAACACAAAACATATCATTCCTAAGTAATCCTACCATACTATAAAATAACCCAAGAACCTCCTAAGCCCGCCTCTCCACTCCTCTCCTCCCCCCCTCCTCCCGACAACCGAACCACACCTGACCTTATAACTTTATCCTAACCCTCCCTCCCTCCCCTTACTACATTTACATACAAACACATACACACTCACACAACAACCCCCCTCAAGCAATTTTAATTCACCTAAAATTAACATACAACCGCCACCCCCATCAATCCCCAAACACAAACTCCCCCCCTCCCACAACCAATCTCCAAACACAACATCCCCCCCCGTCAGACAAAGCCCCTCTTAACACTACAACTCTCAAAAACCAAATCAAACATACCCAACTTCTATAATCAGCCACCTCGACAAAATCGACTTAACTCAAGACTGAAACTTAACCTATATCTCACTCTCATCTCCGTTCACAATTTGACATAGCTCAAATCTGCCTCCTGCTATTACTAAACAACTCTCCTACGATACACTCATCCTTCCTCACTACGAATACTTTGACATTTCAAACTCAAAGATTCTAAACTCTTCCTCCAACTCTCTCCATTTCTCTCTGACATAGCTAAAAGACCCACAACTCTCAGAACCTAATCAAACATACCCAACGTCTGTGACATCCAATTCTTAATAAAATTGACCTAACTCTAGACTGAAACCACTCAACCTATATCTCATTCTCGTCTCCGTTCATAATTTGACAAAAAAGCTCAAATCTGTCTGCCGCTATTACTAAAAACTCTCCTACGATACGCTCATCCTTCCTTACTATGAATACTTTGACATTTCAAGCTCAAAGATTAAAAAACCCTTCCTCCAACTCGCTCCGTTCCTCTTTGACATAGCTCAAAGACTTTACCTTCATCTCTCTCCAAACAACCCTACGACTAGCAAAATTTCTATATTTTCACCTTCTCTGTTTGATTTGATCGTGTGCTGCCTGTGCGTCCGTCCACCTGCGTTTCTCGGCTTGCGCCGCCGCCGTGGCGGGGCGGTTCTTCCTACGTTTTACCAACACTGCCTGCTGGGACGACAATCAGAACACCCGCGTTGGCCCTTTGCTTGCCCGGACCTGCTCCCGCCCTCCCTCTGCCTCGTCCTGATTGTTGTTGTTGCACCCTCACGGGCATTTTGCCTACCCCCTCACGCAAGCGGTGTTTAGCCACTGCACCTGTTCTCTCCTTCTAAAATTCACTTCCATCCTCCCTTTATTCTTCCTCTGAACCTCCTTCCCCCCTGTCACTAGCATTTTTCTAGTTCTTCTAGCCAGTTTTCAATTCTCTCGCTCCGCGCCACGAGTAACTGTGCCGCCATGCCTCCCAAAACTTCCGGAAAGGCTGCCAAGAAGGCTGGAAAGGCCCAGAAGGCCATTGCCAAGGGTGACAAGAAGAAGAAGCGCAGGAGGAAGGAAAGCTACAGCATCTACATCTACAAGGTACTGAAGCAAGTGCACCCCGACACAGGAGTCTCCTCCAAAGCTATGTCCATCATGAACTCTTTCGTGAACGACATCTTCGAGCGCATCGCTGCCGAGGCTTCCCGCCTGGCGCACTACAACAAACGCTCCACCATTACAAGTCGGGAAATCCAGACAGCTGTCCGACTCTTGCTGCCCGGTGAACTGGCCAAGCATGCCGTGTCTGAGGGCACCAAGGCTGTCACCAAGTACACCTCTTCCAAGTAAGAGGTTACTTGTGCACAACAAACACGCCATCCCACTACTACAACTTAATCGGCTCCATCGGAGCCACAGTTACATGTTAAAGAGACAGTTACCGACAGTGATGTATTGAGAGGGAAATAATAAAAAAATTATAATAATCTGCATTCTCTATTGGCGTAGAAACAGGACTAAATCGAAACATAATAAATAAATAAATAAATAAATTCTGCGTGGAGTAGTTTCACACCCACTGCAAAGTGACATACCTGGAGTGTGTTTGGGCTTCATTTCTTGTTTGCAGCACGCCTATTTCATGTAAACAATTTATTTTATTTTATTTTATTTTATCTTAGTTATTTATTTATTTATTTATTTATTGTTTATATCTTTATTTGTTACTAGCTCTTGTTTGTTGCACCCACCTCCCGAATTGATGACCTACTATACAATCGTGCCTGCACGAATGTTACCAACTTACCGTTAGGCGATTTGGGTAACCGAAATTAACGCTCTCCTACCACCAACCATTTCGATTGTCAAGAAAATTATCTTCAGAACAGTTCTTTGGCCCTGAGAAGGGCCGAGTTATAGATGTCTGGTAGGTTTTGTTGTGCTTTTTGTTTGTCCCCAAGGAAGAGGACTTAAGCACGCTCTCCGCGGATGCGCCGGGCCAGCTGGATGTCCTTGGGCATGATGGTAACGCGCTTGGCGTGAATGGCACACAGGTTGGTGTCCTCGAAAAGACCCACCAGGTAAGCCTCAGAGGCTTCCTGCAGAGCCATGACGGCAGACGACTGGAAGCGCAGGTCAGTCTTGAAATCCTGGGCGATCTCACGCACCAGGCGCTGGAAGGGCAGCTTCCTGATGAGTAGCTCTGTGCTCTTCTGGTAACGACGGATCTCACGAAGGGCGACGGTTCCGGGCCTGTAACGATGGGGCTTCTTGACACCACCGGTGGCTGGGGCGGACTTGCGAGCTGCCTTGGTGGCAAGCTGCTTCCGTGGAGCCTTGCCTCCAGTGGACTTGCGGGCAGTCTGTTTAGTACGGGCCATCTCGACGACGAAATAGTAAATACGGGCGGCCTGGCAGGCGGGCGGGCTTATATACAGACATTCTCCACCTCAGTGGCCACCTCATTGGCCACGAGTGCCGCATGCGTCATCCGCAAGCTACGCCCCACCTCCAAGAGGGAGGGACGGCCTTGGATGAACGATACTACCGCTGCGTCCACAGCACGCCACCTACTCCCACCAAACCGTGGGCGAAGCCACACCAGGACCACCTGTAGTAGCAACCACAACAACATGACTGGACGAGGCAAAGGAGGCAAGGGACTTGGAAAGGGTGGCGCCAAGCGTCATCGTAAGGTGCTTCGTGACAACATCCAGGGTATCACCAAGCCCGCCATTCGTCGTCTAGCTCGGCGTGGAGGTGTTAAACGTATATCCGGCCTCATCTACGAGGAGACCCGCGGCGTCCTCAAGGTGTTTCTGGAGAACGTCATCCGTGACGCCGTCACCTACACCGAGCACGCAAAAAGGAAGACCGTCACCGCCATGGATGTGGTGTATGCCCTGAAACGGCAGGGCCGCACCCTTTATGGTTTTGGTGGTTAATCAACCTGATGGACGGGCGCACACCACCACCACCACCACCACCACCACGACAAACAAATATACGGACCTAATTTTAGGTCCACATTTAAATCGCAAAAGAGTTGGTTAGACACTGAGTAAATCGTTGAAAATATATCCAATAACATGATCCTCTCTAATTCTGGACTTGTGGTATGAGTATAGGTTGTGCGTGAACGTGTTGGAACCACTTCCTAATAATTGTCAGTCAGTCAGTCAACATTCACCTAACCTCCAGGTACCTCACCTAACTTCCTGTAGCGTCACCGAACCTCACGAAATGTAACCCAATGTAGTTTATAATCTATCCTAACATGACATAACATAACCACGCACTATATTACTTCGGTAAGAGTAATGAGTTTTAATACACAAAGTTGCAGTTAGCATTCATTCATACATACATACATACATACATACATACATACATAACATGCTAGTGGCAGGGGGGGATTGAAGTGAATTTTAGGAGGATAGAATAGGTGCAGTGGCTAAACAGCGCTTGCGTGAGGGACTTTAAGCAGCAACTCGCCTGGATGCGGCAGGATAGAGTCAGGTCAAGCGTCCGGTGCATGTTGGGTTCCGCCATGGTTTCTCAGTGTTTGGTCGGCTTGATTGTGTGTGTTGTTTTCTTGTTTGGAGGAAATGTCTTGGTATTCTTCTTCTTAGCTTGAAGTTGATTTTCTTCTAACTCTTCTCCTCTTGTTGTTCGTCTTCCTCGTGTCTGCTATCATTCTGTAAAGACTCTCTATATGTATGTAGGTATGAGTGAGTAACAGTTGCCGGTTACAGTGATACTTCATATTCGCTGGTGTTGTACTGTATGGCTTCGGTATTTCTTAATATACAAACGGCACCGTTAGGGGATTGAGGTATTTAAAAACCAGCCTGCATTACTTATATATAGAAATAAATAATGTGGCTTGGACAATAATGACGACTACTCTCTCCTACCTTCCCCAAACAAGGGCTTTTCGAAAGTATACATTGGACACAAATGACTTAGTACATCATAAATTGGTGGTTTAACAAAAGCCCTCATTAGAGAAAGGTGAAGGAGCACACAGTGAACATACAGATTAATGTTTGCATGCGTAGATCATGTAAGGTGAGATGTTGAACACCAGACACGTAGTGTAGTAACTCCCTCACAGATGGCGTTATGAGGGGCCTGATGATGTAGCAGTTACCTCACAGATGGTGTTATGAGGAAATTCACATGATGATGCTGTAGCAAAACATTCACTACGTGTTGTCGTAGCATCTTGGGGACACCACGTGGTCGACATGACTCACTCATTCAAGTGGGTGAGGTGTGGTCCCAGGCCTCTCTATCGTGGAGTCTCAGGGGAAGTATAACTGGGTACCTGGGACCTCACTGTGTGAAGGTGGTTAGCTAGCTTGGGTAAGACTCAACTGCCGAGTTGTTTTTCACTGAGTTAAGCACTGTTCACCACTATTCATCACTGGTTCCATTCCTTGGCCAAATGAGATAGTACCTTATGGCAAGAACTTGTTGATAGTCCGCTGGGGAGGAGGGTTCAGGGGAGTGAGTTGGTATGGGCCAACATATATAATAATAATAATAATAATAATAATTAACGGTTTATTGAAAGAGCTTGGCAGCCAGAAGACTGAAAATATACAGTTACATATTTGGGGAATGGGTTACGAATTACAAATAATATACAAGTAACATGAGTGACACAAATAAGACATATAATAACTAGCTGGGGAAAAGCTCAAACTACAGTTCATTTCAACATAGTGACAGTGCAAGGAGTAGTGTTTACTGGGAGTGAGTACACTGATTTATTACAAGTTATCGATAATTTTTACAATGGTTGGGACTGGGCTGTTCTTATAGCGATCAGTTCGTGCACGTATGGGCTGGGCTGGATGGATGCGGTTGTGGTGTCGAAGAGCAATTCTCGGACTAGGGATCTCAGGTGGTAGTAGGAGCCGGTGTCGGGGATGGTGTAGAAGCTTCTTACCAAATGTGCAGATGAGGTCGTGGTGATGGTCAGTGAGAGTCTAAAGGGTCAGTGTGTTGAGCGCTTCTTGATATGTGGAGTAGGAAGGGTAGAGAATAATCTTGCATGGCCTCTTTTGCACTTTTTCGAGGTGTTTACGTTGTGTGGCATTTAGGGAGGAAGACCAGGTGGAGGAGGCATAGGTGAGCTTGGGAAGTATGAATGTTGTGTAAACACTGAGGAGCTCGTGTGCAGGACCACCGAGGGACTTGAGTCGGCGTAGGAGGTGGAGACGGAAACTGGAGGATTTGATAACTTCACTGACGTGTGGTTTCTAATTTAGTTTGTTGTCTATATGTATGTGTGTGTGTGTGTGTGTGTGTGTGTGTGTGTGTGTGTGTGTGTATACTACTGTACTTTTTAGATCCTCCTACGCAACCTAACCTATTATAGTTAAGTATAGTAGGCTATACACTATTTTGTTAGTATGTGTTATAAAATGAAATTGCATGTTGTGTATGTGTGTGTGTGTGTGTGTGTGTGTGTGTGTGTGTATTAGTGGTAATGCAAATATTATTATTATTATTATTGTTATTATTATTACATGCTAATATAATACTAAGTTGCCCGCCAGATTTCCTCAGAGATGGGAGGAGCACATTGGCGGCGGTGTTGTTTATACTCCGCCCGATTACTGATTCCTATTCACCGAGCCAGAGCTGGCGGGCGGCGTGTTATGTGCCACGTTTTGTTTCCCATTGGGCGTACCGCTCAGCTGGGGAGTAGGAGATTTCATAAAAAGAAAGTTTGAGTGGAGAGCACACCTTTTCCTTCACATACAGTTATCTTAGACCATCTACTAGTATAATAGTTTGCACAAAAATACTCTACACTCTTTCTAGGTTATTGTTATGTTGTTTTTTTTTTTTTGACTTCTCATCAGATTGTGCATTCAACTAATATACACTATTAGTGTGTTTATTATTATGTTTTATAGTATTATTTCGTATAATATTGGGTAACACAATTAGAGTCACTAGTATAGTATATTATTGGGGTTTATAGCAGTTTGTGGTCTAATAGTATCATGCTTTATGAGTGGTGTTCTATGTAGTGATGATTAGGCAATAAAATATGCTTTGGGGGTTTATAGCAGTTTTTGTGGTCTACTAGTATCATGCTTTATGGGTGGTGTTCTATGTAGTGATGATTAGGCCATAAAATATGCTTTTGGTTTATTGCTAACAAAATATACTTTGCTCTACCGCTGTAGTGCAAAACATGGTGAAACTTACATACACCGTTAATAAAGTATTGATGGAAGAAGAAGAAGAAGAAGAAGAAGAAGAAGAAGAAGAAGAAGAAGAAGAAGAAGAAGAAGAAGAAGAAAGAAGAAGAAGAAGAAGAAGTAAGAGGAAGAATTGTGGAGGGAATGAACAGTGAGACAATGTAAAGCCTCCGGGATGGCGGCAGCGTTTCTGTTATTAATATATAATAAGACAATAGGAAAATATGTTGTTGTCTCTACCTGTATTATTACCTTTGCGATAGCATGGTTCAATTTTGGGAGGACATAGGAAGGAGCAGGAGGTTAGGAAGGGATTTGTAGTGGGAGAGATAGTGTCTGTGATCCTCGGGTCACCACTCCTCGGATTGTGTCAGTTCAAGTTTAGAAGCTCCAACAACTTTCCCTGAATACGAATTGGCAACCTTTCGATTTACAACAGGTACCTACTTACTGCTACAGTAGGTAGGTGAACAGGGACCAAGGGGGCTAGGAAGAGTGTCCAAACAACTTGCTCCTGCCTGCCTGTGTGATGTAGTCGTGGCCAGAATTAGGTTAGGATACAGACACATCTGGCTAGTTAGTAACGCTGTACCCATAAAGGAACACTCAGCATGTAAACTTGGTGATACACCTTTAAAGCACTACTATATTATTGAATGGGACACTGTCAAAGACTTCAGGCCACCTCACTTATTGTATCTTGAACTATGTCATTACTTCATTGAGGACATTACATTCTTGCTCTTTATCCCAAATTGGCTAGCCCACACTGGTAAATGTGTACTGTACTGTCAATGAATCTGATGTATTTCTTTGTGTATGAACCTGACTGAAAATAAGGTCGCCTCCCTGGCTGCTGCTGCTGCTAAAGCTGCTTCTGCTTCTGCTTCTGCGCCCTTCTAAGTCCCGTTTAAGTCCCCCACCCCAGGCCCCCACAACCGCCCTTCACATCTACACCATTCTAAAACAATTTCACTCAATTCCCACAATACTATGCTAATTACACGTAAAATAGAGTGTTATCCTGCAAAACGTTGATGTCGTATATTTCTCTCTTTAAGTGATATCCTGTGGCTCCGAAAGGAGCCTGTTTGGTTAGGTTGTCTTGTGTGAACGAACCTTGGGTTCTTATTTCTTCTCTGTCTTCTTGGGGAGGAGCACAGCTTGGATGTTAGGAAGGACACCCCCTTGGGCAATGGTGACTCCAGACAGGAGCTTGTTCAGCTCCTCGTCATTGCGAATGGCAAGCTGAAGATGACGCGGGATAATGCGGGTCTTCTTGTTGTCGCGGGCGGCGTTACCGGCCAGCTCGAGCACTTCTGCTGCCAGGTACTCCATGACGGCTGCAAGGTACACAGGGGCACCTGCACCAACGCGCTCAGCATAGTTGCCCTTACGCAAGAGACGGTGGATTCTACCCACGGGGAACTGGAGTCCGGCCCTGCTAGAACGGGACTTTGACTTGCCCTTCACTTTGCCTCCCTTGCCGCGTCCTGACATGTTGCTGCTGCTGCTTTTCGTGATAGGAGTTAAATTTCCGCCCGCCACCTTGGTCTTTTATACCAAGCTCAGGATCAGGCCAGGTGGCCGTCTCGCGGACCCAACCAATGTAAGAGAGCCGTAGCTGCAGCCAGTCTGATCCTGAGCGGCCCGCTCGGTATATAAGGAAAAGTTAGCCGGGCCAGTTTTCAATTCTCTCGCTCCGCGCCACGAGTAACTGTGCCGCCATGCCTCCCAAAACTTCCGGAAAGGCTGCCAAGAAGGCTGGAAAGGCCCAGAAGGCCATTGCCAAGGGTGACAAGAAGAAGAAGCGCAGGAGGAAGGAAAGCTACAGCATCTACATCTACAAGGTACTGAAGCAAGTGCACCCCGACACAGGAGTCTCCTCCAAAGCTATGTCCATCATGAACTCTTTCGAACGACATCTTGGCGCTTTATCGCTGCCGAGAGAGCTTCCCGCCTGGCGCACTACAACAAACGCTCCACCATTACAGTCGATCAGACAGCTGTCCGACTCTTGCTGCCCGGTGAACTGGCCAAGCATGCCGTGTCTGAGGGCACCAAGGCTGTCACCAAGTACACCTCTTCCAAGTAAGAGGTTACTTGTGCACAACAAACACGCCATCCCACTACTACAACTTAATCGGCTCCATCGGAGCCACAGTTACATGTTAAAGAGACAGTTACCGACAGTGATGTATTGAGAGGGAAATAAAAAAAAAATTATAATAATCTGCATTCTCTATTGGCGTAGAAACAGGACTAAATCGAAACATAATAAATAAATAAATAAATTCTGCGTGGAGTAGTTTCACACCCACTGCAAAGTGACATACCTGGAGTGTGTTTGGGCTTCATTTCTTGTTTGCAGCACGCCTATTTCATGTAAACAATTTATTTTATTTTATTTTATTTTATCTTAGTTATTTATTTATTTATTTATTTATTGTTTATATCTTTATTTGTTACTAGCTCTTGTTTGTTGCACCCACCTCCCGAATTGATGACCTACTATACAATCGTGCCTGCACGAATGTTACCAACTTACCGTTAGGCGATTTGGGTAACCGAAATTAACTCTCTCCTACCACCAACCATTTCGATTGTCAAGAAAATTATCTTCAGAACAGTTCTTTGGCCCTGAGAAGGGCCGAGTTATAGATGTCTGGTAGGTTTTGTTGTGCTTTTTGTTTGTCCCCAAGGAAGAGGACTTAAGCACGCTCTCCGCGGATGCGCCGGGCCAGCTGGATGTCCTTGGGCATGATGGTAACGCGCTTGGCGTGAATGGCACACAGGTTGGTGTCCTCGAAAAGACCCACCAGGTAAGCCTCAGAGGCTTCCTGCAGAGCCATGCCGGCAGACGACTGGAAGCGCAGGTCAGTCTTGAAATCTGGGCGATCTGCACCAGGCTGGAAGAACGCGCTTCCTGATGGTGGCTCTGGCCTCTTCTGGGCGCGGCGGATCTCCACGAAGGCGGCGGTTCGGACGCACCAACAACGATGGGGCTTCTTGACACCACGATTGGCTGGGGCAGACTTGCGAGCTGCAGCAGTGGCAAGCTGCTTCGTGGAGCCTGCCTGCCTCCGAGTGGACTTCTGGGCAACCACCAGCTGGTCACGGGCCATCGGCAACAAAAATAATCATCTGGGCGGCCTGGTTGTTGTTGTTGTTGTATAGATTGTCGGACCGTAGTCCGACACGGGCCTTTGCCTATAGGCGGCCCGTTTGGTGGTTCCGGCTGGAGCTCCAGGAGCAACCAGACCGGATTGGGATTGGAGGTGGTCCCACCTGCAGATTGGAGGGATACTGCAGGTTGCAAGTGTGAGCGGACCCCCGATCAGTGGACGCTTACCACCGGCCCCCACTCTTGGACGTGGTCAGCCTCGGAGTGGCGCGCCCCCCGAACTGGGGTCCGCACTTGCTGGGAGAGGATGCTTTCTAAGCTATCTGGGTGGTGGGTATCGTGTGATGACCCGGAGTAGGTGGTGAATGTGGTCTGTATGGGCCTTTCGGGTTAGAGTGGCGGCTGGTGTTGTGTGTGTTTCTTGGGAGATTTGAGTTCTGTTTCGGAGGCTTTGTGTGACCTCGCAATCGAGGAGATAGTGATCAAGTGGGTTGGCTGCTGGCTCCTGACAGTAGGTGCATTCCATGACGTCATTTCCGATCATCTGCCAGGAGCACTTGTACCCTAGTCGTAGTCGATGAAGGCTGACTTGGGTTTGTCTTGGAGTTTTCTTGTCAGCGAAAGGTGGTTCCCCTTTTGTGGCCGCCAGGTACCATTTGGCTGATTAGGAACCAGCGTTGAGTGCATGAAGGAAGCTCTTTTTGATGTGGAGCTTGGTAGTCTTTCTGAGGTGATTCTTGATCTGTTGCACACTTGCTGGAACTTGGATGTGTACGCTACTAGAACGTGTAGCTGCCTTGGCTGCTTCGTCTGCCACGTCGTTTCCTCCGATCCCTACATGACTGGGAATCCAGTGTAAGACGACTGGTCGGTTTTGGCTTTGGAATTCCTGTAGCTGCGCGAGGATCGAGGTGATGATGTGGGCGTTGTCTCTTGGTTGACTGTGTTGCAGCGCTTGCATGGCCGATTTCGAGTCCGTGTGAATTATGACGGACTTGTTGTGTTGTGTTGCAGCGTGTTGTAGGGCCTTTGAGATTGCTACCAGTTCTGTTTGTAGGGTGGAGCAGTCGTTGGAAAGTCTCCATTTGAGGGTCTGACCTTGGGTGTAGAAGGCCGCTCCGGATCTGTGATGTTTTGGGTCCACCGAGCCGTCTGTGAAGTATGATGCTGCATCAGCCGGTGTCTCGGTGGCTATGGCTTGGAGAGATATTTTTTGAGGTCCTCCTTCTGGAGGTTGGCTTTACTGTCGCCGAGGTCGGTGAATTTGAGTGTGGCTGGTGGAGGGCTCCATGGTGGAGGAACAGTGTAACCATTGTCTCGTGTGTCTTGGTTGTTCTTGACGAGTGTTTCTGCTTGCAGGTGTCGGATGACCTCGCTTGCCTCGTGCGACCAGGTGGCCCCTCGCACTCTGTGGTCGAGGTGGAGAGAGGCACTGATTCGAATCTTGGCAGCTGTGGGCTTTTCTGCTCTGCAGATTTTGGCGAGGAGACCGGCTGTCACCTGCTTGACTCGTACTGCCAGGGGTGGTAGCTCGGTTTCCATTTGCAGATTGCAAATTCTGGTCCACATGGGTGCTCCGAGCATGGTCCTGAGAGCATTGTTTTGAATGACTTCTAGCTTAGCTATTTGGTCTTCTCTCAGTCCAATGAGTGCTGGAGCACTGTAATCTACCAGCGATCTGATGGCGGCTGTGTAGTAGGCTTTGAGCACATGAAGGTTTGCTCCTGCGGATTTGCTGGTGAGCGGCCTCATTATATTGTGTCTGCTCTTCGTCCTGTGCCTGAGATACTCGAGTTGCGGCTTGAAGGTGAGTTTCTGGTCAAACCAGATTCCAAGACACTGGTGGGCGTTGGTCCAGACTACCGGCGTGTTTTGTATGGAGAGCGTCTTGTCTGGTGTGTCTGTGCAGATGGCCATCGCTTTCGACTTGGCTGGATTTATCTTGAGTCCAAGTCTGTTGCACTCCTCTTCTATAAGTTGGAGTGCGTGTTGCGTGTTGGCTAGTCTGTTCGATCCTCTTACTATGAGCTGTAAGTCGTCCGCATAGCATAGGAGCTTGGCTGTTTGTCTGAAGGGAAGTTTGACTAGATTTTCCATCAGGACATTGAACAGCATTAGACTGAGGATGCCTCCTTGTGGGGTTCCGTTTTCGTGGACCCTGTAGCTTGAGGTTGCTCCCTGAAAGCGTACTCGTGCTTCTCTCTGTGTGAGGTAGTTCTGGATCCACCCCAGCAACCTTCCTTTGACGCCTTTTTTAGCGAGCGTAGTTGTAATGGCCAATGGATTTGCTAGTTCGAAGGCTTTCTCCAGGTCGAGGAAGACTACCAGAGCTGGTTTGTTGTCCACTGTGCTGAGTATCTCGGCGATGTTGTTGCCTGTGCCGATGTCCTCGGTGTAAGCAAAGATGTGAGGGTGTGGGCTGCCTACTTTCCACTTGAGTCGGTTGAGAGCCATTCTTTCTCCCGTCTTCGCTATGCAGCTGAGAAGGGAGATGGGCCTCGGTTTGTCTGGTTCTCTGGGCTTCGGAATGGGCTGTATATCTGCCTTCTTCCATTCCGGTGGGAGTCTTTGTGCTGTCCACGAAGCATTGATGGCTTGCAGCAGAGCCTCGTGTCCGGCTGTACCGGCATGAGAAAGCATGGAGTAGGTTATCCTGTCGGCCCCTGGAGCTGTGTCCTTGCTTCGTTTTAGCGACTTCTGGAGTTCTTGCTGGTTGAATGGTCTGTCAGTGTCATCTTCACTGTTGCAGGCCTCTTCGATCAACTGGAGTCTGGGTAGGTCACCATGAGGTCAGGTCTTATATAGCGGAGGTAGGCGTGGCTTAATAGTTGACCTCCGTGATGTATGGCGGCGCTGGTTGACCTAGACCACGAGGCATACACTGGGGAATTCGCGGGGTCGGCTACTCAGCGACAAGCGTTTGTAGGGGAGGAATCCACTACAAAGTCATAAAATTTGCTTAAAATATTTTATATGCACAAACATAAAACATCTTTACTTTTCAGCAAGTATATTTGTAAATTTCATCTTCCTAGGATTCCAATGTGTGAATGTGTCAATTACTTGGTTTATGTATGTTCACCAGTATATATCGGCGCATGTGCAGTAGTGTCAGGCCTGTCAGTCTCTCGTTCCTCATTATTCATCTGTATGGTGTTTTTATTCTGTTTCAGTCCACTGAAAGATCTTTCAGCAGAGCATGTTGTTACTGGCAGGGTGCACAGAATAATGAGCAGGGCCCTCACATTGGGGAACATGGAACCTGGTGTCTGGGAGAGGGTGGTGGTCAGTTTGGTGGAAGGCTGGTGGGGTCCTATTCTTTGGCCTTTTTTCCCCACCTGATACGCCAGGTGTGTACCTCACTCTTGATACTGCCAGGAGATAGTAGGTACTCCCGGTAGAGATCAACCAGCTCTTGTATTCTTCTGCTGCCCTCTGCTGGTGTCAGGGTTACCGAGATGGATGGGATGACACTGAGTCCCTGGAAGACCTTTTGGTGCAGGGGGGTGAACCTCATCTCTAGCTCTGCCAGATGGTCTAGGGTGGAATGGCCACCGTTTTCCTGTAGTATTCAGCTGGTCCACCAGCTGACATGTTGTCAAAGTGTCGTTGGCATTTGCAGAGTCTGGGCATGGAAGGTGTGACACCTACAGTGGCGAAGAGGATAAAAGTAAAAGTAATAAAAGTTATCCTCTTCACCACTGATCGGCTCGTTAGCCGCTTGGGCGATCGGTCACGTCTCTGTTACGCACTGGTGGCAAGCACTGGGCAGTGGGCATGCACCGCCTCCTGAATGTACCTGAACCTGCTCCAGTGCTTGTCAAGTCTGGTCTTGAAAGAGCTCACACTCGGTGCCGTCACAACACTTTCTGGCATATTCTTCCAAGAGTTCAAACTCTCACTCCGAAAAAGTTTGTCCTCATGCACAGTTTTCTCGACCTGCGGCTTCTTTAACCTTGAGCTGTGACCCCTTGTGGGGCGAGCGTTCGCCAGCTCCAGGAAAGGACACTCGACTGAGTAGTGCCCCTTGAGATGCTTATACACCTCAATTAAGTTCCCTCTTGCCCGGCTGTAGTATAAGCTAGGCAAGTTCAGGCGCTCCAGTCTCTCAGGGTAGTTGAGGTGTCGAAGTGCAAGGCACCAGTCTGGTGGCCCTCCCTTGAACATTTTCAATCAACTGACAGTCCCTAGCATATCTCGGGGACCAGACGGAGTGACAGTACTCCAGATGGGGAAACACTTCACTCCTGAAGATCGTTACGAGGGACGGACCGTCTAGATATCTGAACGAACTTCTTATAAGACCTAATAATTTATATGCCTGATTTTGCTTCTTCTCGCAATGGCCCGAGAACTTCAGCTCATTGTCAACATACACACCTAGGTCCTTCTCACATTCAGTCTCAAATATTGCAGTTTCTTCATCCCGTTGAGGCATATGATACGCCTCCTTACCATTGGTACGCCCCAGGTGACATTGAATCTCAGCAGCCATTTCTTCGACCATTCTTGGAGCTCACAGAGATCCTTCTGCAGCTCTTTACAGTCCGCTTGGTTCTTGAGATCCCGAAATAACGGCGTCATCCGCAAACATTTGTATGGATGAGTGTACAACGTCAGGCATGTCATTTATGAAACAAACAAACAACAGCGGGCCCAATACACTGCTCTTTGGTACCCCGCTTGTGATTGTATGTCATCAAATCCAGGAAGGTTAATCGCACCCTCTCTTGTGAACACCGAGGAAAAGAAGCTGTCCAATGCCTCAGCATTATCCTAGTCAGAATCTGCGTAACTACCAATTTCAAGCCTCAGGTCTGATACTTCTGCTCGGGTTTCAATTTCGACTTTGCATAGTGGTAAAACGCCTTTGGGTTTGACTTGACATTGCATGCAACCAGCCTCTGGAACTCCTTTTCAGCCCTTCTACACTCTGCCTTTGCTTGGTTTCTGGCTCTTACATACATCCTCCTGTCCTGCTCATCGTTTGACCTAACCCAC